GAGAGAGAGAGAGAGAGAGAGAGAGAGAGAGAGAGAGAGAGAAGGAGAGATGGAGAGAAGTGCCGACGCGAGGGAAGGGCGAGATTAAAATCGCCCGGAGAGCAATGCAAAGTTTTTAATAACCCTTGATGCTTGATTAAGTTACGACTCTCTTCGCCGGCTCGCTGTCTCTCCTTCCTGCTGTTCGTCTTCGGCTGAAATAAATTTCGCGGAGATTTCGCTCAGACCGCGTTCGAGCGCTACGGGGGAAGAAACGAGACTCGTTTGCTCCGTCAGCTAAATTAATGGAAATCTGGGATGGTTTCTTATTCCCACGCGCACGCAAATATGCAGCGAAACCGGGAAACTCGCGTCCTCGTTGTTACTGGCCTCTCCGATTCAAAACCATATGGATTCACTTATTAATGCGGATCGATCCGGTTGAATGTCAAGTGCCGTCACAACTCGTAACACGATAAATAACTTAACCTTTCTACCGTTTATGGTATCGTACACGATACAGTATTATAATTATAAGACCCGAATATACAATCAGGAACCGTTGCGACTCGTTTGTTTAAACATTCAAGAACGTATAAAATTCAAGAACGTATATTCAGGAACATATTATAATCAAATTCTGCGAGAAAATAGTGCCGACTCCGAGACGAAATTATCCGTACAAAATATTCTTTATCCAATATAGACGCCATTAATCACGATCTAACGACAGTCTATCTGTTTCTTTTCTTCCAGGCTTTGGATTTGTCACGTTTCAAAGCGAGGATGTCGTCGACAAGGTCTGCGAGATCCATTTCCACGAAATCAACAACAAAATGGTGAGTCGTCCCGTCACGAAAGTCTAGTCGTAGAGCCAAGAGTGCTTCCCTTTACTTTACCTACGTACCCACAGAGGTTGCATCAAAAGGTATTTGCCTTTCGCTCGCTGTCTGCGGATATGGCGTCGAGCAGAATTAATTTTCTGTATAATCGAGAAGGTCTATCTCTCCGGTTATTTGCATTTGACACGCACGCGGCATATACATGCAGAAGCAGTCATACGCGAGAGAAAGGGAGAGCGAGAGCTCGCCGTGATAGATATCGCTGCCAAAGGACGAGATATTTGCCTTCCACTACGACGGAAAGCTTTTTCGTTCGATGGTCAAGTACTTTTCTTGATGCCACCTCACGCCACTAGCAAATCCCGAGTAAGCTCGCCGCTGTGATCCGGCCTCGATAGTCACCTAAAACTCCATCCTTAATCCCTTCCTTATACACAAAGTGCATTTTCAGCCAAAGCTCAAACGGTCATCCAATGACGCGCAGAAGAAACGAACGACAGGAAGTAATAGCCGACATCGTCAAAATCCCCTCTTTCTCCCCATATCCCCTCTAATCACTTCTTATTGCGCGCAGTATCACACTTGTTGCCGTGACGATTCGCGGCGTTCGCTCGCGCTAACGATCCCAACAGACGGAACACACGAAACCACACCCTCCCTACTCCCCGAAATCTCGCGTATGAGAGCCGGTCGCGACGCGCAGCCGTCTCTGTCTCCTCACCTGCACTGTCTGAAATTTCAAGGTCGAGTGCAAGAAGGCACAGCCGAAGGAAGTGATGCTCCCAGCGAATCTGGCGAAGACGCGAGCGGCCAGCAGAGGCGCATACGGTGAGTTGGTGATGGTCGCGACACCCACCCCCACCACCTATCGTTACGCGCCGTATCCCCTGCCGACGGCCGCCGCCGCGGCTGCACATGCAGCTGCCGCGGCCACCGCCGGTCCTCCTCACCACCACTTGCTGGCTCCGATAGTCGCTACCGCCGCACCGAGCGCGGCCGCTACCTATCAATACGCGGCAGGTGCCGCGACACCCTCGGCCGCCGCGGCCGCCACCACCGCGGCCGCGGTTTACGACGTGAAGCGCGCACTCGCGGCAGCGGCAGCGGCCGCGGCCGCGGCCTCTTATCGCCCGCATCCGGTCGCGGCCGCGTCCCGCGCCGCTGCGCTCACCTACTCGATGAGCGATCTGCTTGGCGTGCAGGGCCTCGACATGGGCGCCGTGTACCACCCGATCCCGACGATCGGCCTATGACCAACGATACTCACACCCCTCTCGCGGCCGCAGTAAACAACGCGCGCGAGTCCCGACGGGGTGTACCCGCGTCTGACCGCTGTTCGTTTCAATCGGTCGGTCAGCATCACATTCTTTTGCGACGTCGCTGATCGCGCAGCGACGGTCTTTACCGGTCTCGTTGTAGTGTGTTGTTACTGTACTCGGAGAAAGGAATTTCGTCGGACTAGCCACATGTCTGGCGAGATGTGGACGAGCCAGCAATCCCGCCCCAAGTTACCAGGATTCTGTCCGTGTTGACGAGATTCCTGGTCAAGCAGAACTTGCAACTGTCCCACTTGGACAGTTGCAAGTTCTGGTTAACCAGAAATCTTGTCAACTCGGACAGAATCCTGCTAATTTCAAGTGAGTTTCTGCTTCGTTCATGTTTCATCAGATATCGGTCAACCCAATCCAATTTTTGCTCCGTGTACGATAATGATGAGTTTACGATTTGCCAAAGGACGACGTAGTAGTTTCGATGAAAAACACGCGAGATTCTTTTTGTTAATTTGGTTCAGGGATATTTCGATAGATGTGCCAAAGATATAGGCTCGAATCAATCGATTTACGTCGTCGCGCGAATTACGAGAATTCATAGCTCAAGTGGTTCGGATACGTTCGTACAAAGAAGATCCGCGTCTTATCGAGTCGAAATGACCAAAGCAGTGAGCTCATTTAAAAAATAATGAGTTTTGCATTGTTACGTCCGTTTCTACCAACGTCAATTAAATCCCAATCCACAACTCTGGTGTAGTAAACTTTCTCTTTTAGTCTCTTACTCTAAGGCCTAAATAGTAACATAATTTCTGACGTCTCTCCCGCAGTACCAATCAGAATCGCAATCCCTAACTTCAAACATTATTGCGACTTTCGGCAACAAAAAAAAATATCCTTTGCTAGAAATTACGTTATAGTTTTGGCATCAGAGCAGAAGGATAAAAGCTCACTACACTTATCGCAAACCGAACCTTGATTTGAACGTAAACCTTCATTTGAAGAAAGAGTTTAAAGTCAGGTTAAGGTTGAATCGACATTGGTAGGAACGGACACCAACTGCAAAGATCCTAATAAAAAACTAGTCTCTCTTTCATGACATACGATTTATTTTCTATTAGTCACTAAAAACATCGCGTTAGGTTGATTTTCGCACATTCCTCGATCGAGACTTTTCTAGTCTTCGTTTCGGCGTAAGTAGTTAACGAAAGAAATCGAAAGTATTAATTAATATGCGTCGATTAGTGATCAAACGACCGGGCGTGATAGATATATCGGCGACGCATCTCGCAAAGTGCAATATCGTAGATTAGAGGAAAAACCGTTCGTTTTTAATCGCCGGTTCGAAATACATATCGGGAGCGCGATGTTTCCGCGGAGCTGTTCGCGGTCGGCAATGTTCGGCAAAACTGTGATCGTAGTTGCAGAATAAGGATAAACGGGCGTAGCGAATTGCAGATTCACTCGACGGTAGTAGTTTACCGGTGGGGCCTCATTTTCACGTAGCGACGAGAAATTAGACGTGTAGCAACGAGACAAACGTATCACAAAAAGACTGGTAGTTATGTCGTAGCTAATTAGTGATGCAGTGTCAGTAGGACAATAAAACAAAGTGTTCAAACGTAGTGGGAAAACGGGCCGAAACGTTCCAATGTTGCTCAATAGGTAAGCCGCCGTCGCGTCGTGCGTATCTCCTGCGGGGCGATTTTGTCTTCCGAAGTGCGCAAATTGTCCATTTTCACCAAAACACTCAGATGTGCAAACTCGGAATCGCCCGTAACAAACATTTGAATATTTTTACCGCGCTCGTCTCCTCATAAAGCGTCGCCAAAGAGAGCGGCCGAGGTCTCATAAGTTTTTAGCCCGCCTTTGTGACATTCAAAATCTTAAGTTATTTCTTGATAAAACCTGTAGCTGTACTGATGGATAGATTAAAAATATATAAGTATCAAAGTGATGCGTCTCGCTATTTGGGAGAAAATGCCCCAGAAAGACGCGTATTCTATCAGAATAAATGATTTTATTAGGATCCTTGCAGGAAACGTAGGAAATGTTGCAAGAAACAATCAATTAATTCCGTTGTGACCAGCAAATAGTTATTAGCCAATTCTACTAGTTATAAAGAAATTAATCGACGTTTAAGTTAATCGAAATTTGGTGAAAAATTAATAAATATTATTAGTATTTATAACCTGTATTATATTTTATCGATAAAGACACATCTCTTCTATTTCTTGCAATATTTTCTACAGATTTCCGGCAAAGGTCCTAACGATACTATTTATTTTGACAGAATATATATCTTTTTGGGCCATTTTCTTCCAAGTGATGAAACGCATTGATATGATATTTAAATATTTTTAATCTACTCATGAATATATATAACTACAGTTTTATTAAAAATAGTTTAAGAAAATTTTAAATACCGCAAAATGGTGTTAACTCTTTAAATTATTTGTTACGTTGTTTCAAAATTAAAAATATCGAGTACTGTTTGATGTTTGAAAACTTTCATGCAGACTGTGTGAAGTTTCAGTGGCAGCAGCTTATTTTGCAATTCCCAGTCAAAAATTACGGGCTCATGCGATGGCTTGTAAGCGCGATATTTTGGAGTCAAAGCAGCTGAAAAAATACGGCACGAATTTATGGAAAATCGACAAGAACGAGCCAGAACTGTCGCGTTTGCGCTGTTAGTTCAGTTGAGTTAACCATTAAAGCATACCGTCGAAGTAAATACAATTATAGAAACATATTTATTCATGAAGGCAGAACCTGTGGAATGGACGCGACGCGGCAAGTCGCGCCTAATGAAATTTCGATCATCTACCGACGTCGAATAATTAAGTTCTCGGCGTCCGTCACACTTGCCGTTAAAAGCATTTCGATTAAAACGCCGTGGAGCTTAACGCCAACATCGAGCCTTTAACGTGGCGGTAATGAGAGAACGGGAAATCGGAGGATAGGTGAGGCTGCCGTCGCGACGGCGATTTTCAGGTCACCCCTGTCGACGCGCAGGGGAATGAGAAACGAAACGACGAGTCTCCCCGATGGTGATCGTACGTTCGCTCGGCGGCTGTCAATTCGCGGTAGAACCTAGTTGAAATTTTAGCGACGCGAGAACGAAGCTCTAACGTAGAAATAGCTATCTGCGGAGTTACGCGACGAGAGCGGTATGATAATTAGGAACCGCGACACGACAGGCACGAAAAAGAGAGAGAAGTCGCGTATTTCGTGGCGTATTTTCGGACGTCGCCGAAACGGCGGGGTGTTTTTTCGGGAGGAGGAGAGGGGGGAGGGGCGAAACGATCGCTCGCTCGCCAGGCAGCGGGCGCGCGCTCTTCGTCGAGGCCGTTGATTACGAATATTTTATCAGAAAACAGAAACAAAATGAAAGGGAAAACATTCCCAGGTAGCGGCGCGCCACGTGTGCCGCTCGCGATGCGAACGCGCGATAATTGAAGGAAATCAATTAGCGGCGACGCGGACAAATTGTCGCCGCGAACGCTGCGAGAGGGCGGTTAGCGCGACGAGAGCTCGCAGCAAATGGTCGGCGACATGTGCACTTCTCATTTGTCGCGCGCCTTCTGGAATATTTTTCGCAAGTGACTTCATGAAATTTCATAATGTCGAAGCAAACAGAAAAAAAAGGAAAAAATGAAAGAACTCAAGGTTCTAAACGATGTTTAAGACACTCTGAAGGGAAGACACGAGAGTTCGGCACTATATATCTATATGTATATACGTACATGCATACGCGAATCTATATACATATATACGTGTATACGTATAATATATTTATACTCTATATTTATATACGGGGTGTCCCGAAATCATCGGCGTATGCGTGACTGGCAGTCGTTAAGCCGACGGGGATAGGCGACGGAGGATTTAAGCGGCTTAACGATAATAAACGAGACTCGAGTCCCGAGAGGACGTTGACGAGTGAATTTCTCATTCGCGCGGCTCAATTGTGCCGATATTAAATGTAGTCGTTGAAAATATTACGATAGACGAAGCTCAAGAGAAAGAAGAGGAAAGGAAGAAGAAAAAGCGATTCCGAACGATACGTGCCAGTGGTTTCCGGACACTCTGTATAGATATGTACCTAACGACCCATTATAGATTACGCCAGACGATACATACGTTATATTGTTTTGTATCTTACCTATTTGGTAACGCCATAGCATTTGATATTGATATCAATATATTTTGTGAGAGCCGCATTATACCTTATAGTTTTTGTAATAGACCAAACAGATATACATATCGGAGCCTATATATATATACATATATCTATCTATTCTATATATATATCCTAGGTAATTAGGTAAATTTGTGTTGTTACCAGACCTTAGATATTATTGAGATTCTAGGCGTTCTAGGTTCGATTAGTTAGAGAGAATCTCTCAGTCTTGGGCGAATTAATATTACTATGTACACGTTCCTACCGTTGAGATTACTAGTGAACTATAGCTTTTGGGAAGTCACACTATGATATCGTTAGCTTAGACTGTACTTTAGGCACTTCTTCGCGGAGGATCGCGCGCTCGCTCTCGATCGTCGCGCAATCTGAGCAAGATCGTTCTTCACGTTCACGAAAAAGTACGCTCTGCCGGCCCCGTCGTAACATTCCCGTGCAACAACTCACTCGCGAATCTCTTCTGCGTGCGGGTTATTCGCACGAACGGTTATCTCGCTGACGACGGCAGGCCGGAAAGAAGAGCGAAACGAGGCGAGACGAGAATCAGAGTCGTCCGCGAAGAATACGCATTATCAGCGGCTTCAAAGAGAGACCTATTACATTGTACCTATTACTTAAACGAGCTACGTTACATAGTACGTTTATTATTACGTTACACGTAATATTATACCTCTCTATAGGATACATAACTAAATATATATCGTGCGTATACCTGTCTATACCTAATGCCCCCCTCACAGACCCCCGTATATATCCTATTCATATACTACTCGTTACATAGTAACTTAACTCTTCTCTTAAGCTACCTAGCCACCGTTTACCTTGAATAATAATGCGTGAGACGTGTGCCCTAGAGAGAGTACGTACTTAGCTGCGCGAGAGAGAGAGAGAGAGAGAGAAGCGCAACACTGTCAGTTTCGTAAGTAGACCAGACCTTGAAGGTGCGGTTTCGTTCGGTTTGGCCTTTGTGACGCTTGGCTGCGGGACAACCCGGATTTTGCTTCCACCCGGGAAATGTAGAGTATCCGACGAGAGAGAGAGAGAGAGGGGGAGAGAGATATCACACTACGATCTGTAACGGGGGCGCAGGACGACACGACCGAATGCACCCCCGATACAACTCCCCGCGAATGTTGCCCCCTCCCCCTCGGGACGGGACATGCATCGAAGAAGGGGGACGTAAAATTTTAGCGCGAGTGTCCGATATATGAATTCAGCACGACTGCCGTCGATGCGACGTAAAGCATTAATCGACCGGCAACTCGATCGTAAACTCTCGAGAGCCGAGACAGACTTTATGCGCCTCGCGCGCGCGAAGAACTGCGAGAGGCTGTTGATGTTAATGTCATACGTAAACATCTGCTCTACGTGAGATCGATATGTTGCACATCCGAGAGAGGTACAGGGTGTATTACCGTGTTAGAGACGTCACGTAGAAACCACGCACGCGCGCGCGCACGAGAGAAAGTATTTATCGTCGAGATCTATTCACGTGTTTCGATGAAAAGCGACAAAGTTGTACTCTATATGTGCACAAGTTTTATATATATATATATATATATATATATATATATATATATATATATATATCTACGACGCTGCAAAACGATTTTATTGAAATAAATGCGAGATAGTCTTCGACGCATATGCAAATCTCATTGTAGCTCGCAAGAGTTTAGTGAAAGCCATTAAGACTGAGCAAAAGCAAACGAAAACTGATAGTAAAGTACGGTTGAGCGCTTGACGTAATCAAAAGCAGCCCGGTAGAGAGAACTTTAGGTACGGAATTATTAATACTATTAATATGTATCAGTGTATTTTAATGGCTAGAATAAACGCTCTTATATACTTTTTCCATCTGCGTATATTGTGAGAGCAACGTCGATATGGACACTAGCATAGTCAGTCAGTAGTGTAGTATTGTGGTCGGTGTTTTTTTTCAATATTGTATCGTCAATATAAGTGTCGTAGTGGCGTCGATAGTATGCCACCCGTGCGAACACACGAATGAACACACATGAAGGGTCACGTCACGTTGTCCGTTTACGCGCGCGTTGTCGCGCGATAATTTTGCAAATCAGCTTCACTTTGCCGCGAAAATATGATTTCGCGCGCGCTCGGTGTGGCATACTACCGATCCTTAGTCGATATCTAATAAGCTATATAGAGAGCCTAGATATTACTTAACGGTAAATAATTAACCAATACCTTTGGAGGCTACAATAACCATAGTTCATAGGAGGGTTTATTTTGTCGTAGATTGGAAACACCTCGGCCGCGCGTAGTTATTAGTACCTTGTCACACAGTTTAGTCGATGCGCTATATAGTCGATGCGATATACATATATATACATATATATATACATAGATGAGAATCTTAGTTGTGTGGTCTTTTGGATTAGTATCGAATTATGAAATTTCATGGATGCCTTGATCTCTCTATCATTCTCACTTTCTTTTTTCCTCTGTATCTATATTTTTCTCTTTCTCTCTGACTACATTCTGACTCTTTTTTCTTTTTTCTTTTTTCTTTGTTTCTTTATCTCTTTCTCTCTCTCTCATACACACACACACATTCTCTCTGACTCTCTGATTAACCTAGAAGGCTTCTAATCCAGTTTTCTTATCTTCTTTTCTCTTTACGTTCTCTTTATCGTTTGGACCTAGTCATCCGTTACACTTAAGCCGTTGAATCCCGACGAATTTCTGCAACGCTTCGCTTCATATATACTTAACTTATCTCCATGTACATATTCTTAAATGTCTATGCCTACCTTCGCCTGCTCGAGGAAAAATATTGGTCCCGCGTGTACGCAACTCCGCGGAAATAATGGGCGCGCGGAAACTTCATTTCCGACACGAAGTTCATTCTCTCTGGAGTTCGCGAGCGATCAATATCTTTCTTCGTATGTAGTTGCAGAAATTTTGATGGAGACTTGAAACCGTCGCAGTAACGAATATATGCAAATACCGTGCGAATGAGGGGGATAAGAATTTAAGAAAAGAAAGGAAAGAAACGAAAATAATACAAAAAAAGAAATAAGGAAAAAGGAGAGAAACGTACTCACACGACACACGCGTCGAACTGTGTGTGTGTGTGTGTGTGTGTGTGTGCCGATCTTACATTAATCAAATTTATTTTTCCTTATAGATTTTATGTGGTCCCTGGGAGCATTACCTGATGGTGAGTATGAAATATGTACGGACTTATATCTGGTAGAGAAGGACTCGATATCCTACTGAAAATCACGTCAGTAGACGGCTGCTATTATGGCCGACAGACATAGCTAAAGTAATAATGATACCATATGACTCGATAGCCTTGATATATAATCATCTGTTTCATTGCTTTATCTATGACATATGTCTCGATTAGCCGGATATGAAGCGCATATAAATATTTGTGGTTAACCTCATTAGTTTTCCCGTTAATGGATATTTAATCCAATCAGTGGAATAGAGTCACACGTGGACGGATATGAATCGACAGATTCAGCCTAGCAATCAGCGCGGACGGATTGCTTTCACTGTCTCTTGTAATCCCAATGAAAGGCTGTCGTAGTTTTAAACTGCGTTTCAAGTCACTTTGTATTATCTCTGTCGAATAAGTTTGTTCCAATCGAGTTATTTTTATCATAGCTTTCTAGAACCATAGATACAAAAAGGGATGTTCTCGAGTATCGCATATTCATAAAGCGCAGAAGCGAGATGAAATCAGGGAATCCCTCGTGTCTAACAGCTTTTCGCGAAACAGCTTTCACGACTAAACCGCGAACGATCGCGCGGTTTCGAGCGTCATAGGGGCCAGAAACAAGCGAGTTGCGCAGCAAGTAATGAAGAGTGTAACGAGGATCTTCGTTGTGTTCGCAGGTTTCCCAGCGGCGGCGTACGCGGCATACGCGGCGGGCCGCGGCTATTCTGGGTACCCTAGTTTCGGATTACCCTACCCGACAGGTAACCACCTTAGCCTTAACCACCTTAACCACCACAATGCGGCCCACATCGCGCCCCTGAACCTGAACTTGAACCTCATACAGGCGCAGCCCGCGCCCCACCATAATCCACCCACCCCGACACCGCTCTTTTACCATCCCAATCTGGACCTCTACAACGCCATGCCTCTGTGAACTAACTCGCCGACTAACGGTACCGATCCAAGCTGTGCGCGCACTCTAACCCATCGCTACACGCTAACTGATTGTGCTGTCGCTTCGTCCATCCGATCCCAATGCGACGGGAGAGCGTGTCGCGACGCGATCGCTACGCCGGGCGAAAGGTAGCCCCGCGACCTCGAGAAGGACGATGAAGAGGTGTGTAGGAAAAGGAGAAGGAGGAGGTCCGGGCGGTTCGGAAGCGTGGCAGGACCACGCGATGGTGATCCTCGAGGATCGCGCGGACCTCGTCGCGCAAAGTGCAAAGTCACAGTTCGACGGGATACGAGCGGCTTCGCCGAAGCTTTTCGTGCGAAGCCGCGAGAGCTCTCGAACGAATGAACAGGACGACGCGGAACGGTCGGAACGTCGCAGCCGGTTCCGATGGAGCACCCGTGTGCGTACGTGTGCGAGCGCGCGCATGTTGCTGTTACCCTCTCGTTGCGCGAGGAACGAGAAAAAGGACGATGAGATCCCTGCTTAAAGCGCGGAAGATCCCTCTTTAAAGCACAGCGAGTCCCGATTTCGCAAAGTTTCGCGTCTCTCTCACGACGACGCGCCGGCGGCGACCGTAAGAATAGACGAAGGAGGAGGAGAGGATTGGGCGTGGAGGGAGGGTCGGGTGGAAACGGGAACGGGGCGAAAAATGCCGCTCCGTGAGAAACTTCGTCTGGTTACAAGATATTCGGGGATAAATTATTAATGTCGAGCGCGGTGTCACAGCTCGCCGACGCGATGGCTCGCACTCGGCTGCAATATCGACTCCGCTTCACTATGAGAAAGTTTGTACATTATTGGAGTGCTTATTCGATACTTGTCGCGGTGTTGGTTTCGCGTATTTTCTTACAACGAGAACACACACCATCGGCCAGCAGCAGCCGGCGACGGCGATAAGAATCGTACAAATCGATATAAGTGACTATATATATTGAAGCATTCCTGTCATTTAGGACTTAAGAACACTGAGAAGAAATTTGTTACCTTCGTACACGAGAGATACGAGAGATACGTACAGAGAGCTTGAGGGAGAAACAGAAAAAGAAAGAGAGAAGGGGGAAGGGAGAAGGAGAACGAGAGTGTTTCATCGCTGGTCCTTGCGTACATTTGTATATTAATTAGCGAGACGTTCGATGAATTTCACGACGGCACAACCACTATACCGCATTATTTTTCTACTGTATTTTTAGGTGAAATATTTTTAAGGAACAATGGGTTACGTGGAGTATAAATAATCTATCCTCTTTTATTCCGCGGTAGAGACGATAAATCACCGGGTGTTTGCGAAAAAGTGGCCGCTATCCGTGTATTCGGAATTTATTGAGCTATTGTAGCTGCAGTGTACTATTGACTCTTCCTCTCCTCTTCTCTCTCTCTCCCCTTCTCTCTCTCTCTTTCTCTCTCTCTCTCTCTTTCTCTCTCTCTCTCTCTTTCTCTCTCTCTCTCTCTCTCTCTCGCTCGCTCTCGTTTTCTCACTCCCTCTTTCTCTCGAGCTATAATTTTCAGGGAATTTAAAATTCCGAAATCATTTTATGATTCAGGAAGCCCAAACGATGTGAATGGGAGCAAAAAAAAGATAGGAAAACGCATGTATTATATATTATACCAATTATACAGGAGGGGACTCGCAAAACTATTCGAACGATTTCACTCAATTTATAGTGCGTTACCCGTTCGAATATTTTGGTGAGCCACTGTATATAAAACCAATCATTCCTTTCAATAACGAATGCGTCCCAATAACAATCTCAATAAAAGCAAATATCCAATCAATGTCCGAATTCATTGGGGTAAATGCCACTAAATACTGAAATGGCCGCTGAAAGTTATTAGAAAATACTTTTGCTGCATAGCGGATTGTAAAACCGACGTTCTGTATTTCGCGCGTATACGCGCGCGCGCGGGACGATATTTTCGAAATACGATGTCACCAAAATTGAGTCCGACAAAGCTGTTTGGCTCGACCAACGGGTTGTGAAATCGATCGCAATATAAAATGCGCAGAGAGAGCTCTGGGTAAAATGTCATTGTTGATATCTGGCAAGGGTAACGAGTACGTATCGATTGACAATGATACGCGAGAGAACCGCATCGCGGTCCACTCAGACACACACACGCACACGTATACACACATACACACTACACACATGGACACGCACAGCGCACCTATCGTTATTGGCGCATACATATGGCCGGAACGATTAATAGGATAGCCGCGGAAAATAAGCACGTCCATCTTTCGATATCGATTGATTGAAACCGGGGCGGATGATAGTTACCGGGCATACCTCTCGAAGTCAAGCCTTCTACTTCACGTAACATTCGCAAAATGAAAATCGCGGATGCGTGCTGTACTTGGATTAAGTTCGAGGAGACGCAGTCTTTATGCTGTGCTCCGCTCCAATGCATTATTGCGATCGCCTGAAACGCTCAAGAGAGACCGACGTAAATAATCGATCATTAACCCACCTCTTCTCGCGAATCATCGGATCATTCAGCTATCCGCATCCGCGACGACTGTTTCTGTGAGTTTCAGAGTGCCCTCGCACGATATTGTTAGGAAGCGCGATCTATTCTCATCGATTTTTCATTATTACGCGAACCGTCGTTTTCTGATTTCGTCGCGTGAATGATCGTTTGACTTTGTTACGTGGCATTTTTCAACAAAAAATCCCCTACCCGATATAACGAACACGCACTCAATAATATCCAGCTCCGGGGGCGCAACAAAACCGAAAAATCGAAGAGTTTAAAAGCCATTATACAAATAGAGGAAGAGCGGCGCTTTGATCGTTAGCGTCAAACAAAATGTTCTATCATTTGATTTTTGGTCATTTTTCCGCGGCTCCGCGACGGATCGCTCGGCACGACTATTCTCTCAGAGACTGCGATCCTACCTGTGCAATCACGCTTGTAGCTGATTTGCAAGTCGACCGGTGAGATAATCATGATTGCCTCCGCCCTGAAGCACCCCTGGGACGGATAATTTCCTTGCCGCGATGGCCGACCGCGCAAAGCGATACGTTTCAGCTCTTTAACCGCGAATGGACGCGCGAGCCTCGCCTAACCCCCGCAATTTTTGCAGACATCCCCCTTCACCCTACTCGGCCGAGACACGTCGCGCACGTGATCGCTCGTGTGTGTTAACGCTCGCTTGTCTCCACCGCTTACCCGCCTGGTAAATGTACGCACGTTTTGTTCCGCGTGTTCCACGAAAGGCGATTGCGATCGAAACCGCCGCCCTCTGCCACCCCCTCGTCCCCATAATTCTAACCCTTGCACGCGGTCCGCCGTTCCTCCTGTGTCAAGCATGTAAAGCGGTAATAACGCGTCACGTCGTTAGCGCCGGACAAACTGCGACCGTTGCCCCGTCACGATCGAGATTAATTAGCGCGGCAGATAGTATCGTTCTCGCTGATACCGCGTCAGATTCGCCGAGGATGCGTCGGGAAAGTGTCGAGACGCACGGCGATGACCCGTCCCGCTGCGTCGAGGAAGCAGTCCACGTGTCCAAGTACATCGATTCTCGAAACAATACGCGCGCACGGGTGGGAAGAGGAAACTCATAAATAATGTATAATGTTTTTCGGACGTTGGCCCATTCCCCTCGAAAAACCTTTCCCCAGTCCTTTGCCCATCCCTCTCTTCCTTTCTTTCTCTCTCTTTCTCTCTTTCTCTCTCTCTCTCTCTCTCTCTCTCTCTCTCTTTCTTCTTCCTTCCCTCCTCGTTCAAACACGATTCTTTCTCCAGGGACGTGCCCGACGTTCCCAGCATCGTTTCCAATTTCCCTCGGTGCCCGCTACTTAACGCATTTGAATAACTTTTCGAGAACACTTTTCCCGTGCTCACACCTCCTCAGCCTCTTCCTCCCTCCCTCCCTCCTTCCCTCCCGTGTTCCCTCGCCGTCCCTCGCTTGTGTGTCTTATTGCGTACAGTTCACGAGGCATGGTGGTAGAAGGAAAAGTGGATATCATCCGCGATGATTGATCGCCGTAGAGGAGAACTCCTCGCCATTCTCCCCCTCCTCCCCCCGCCCCTACACACCCAATCCGACCCGTAAATGTATTCCCAATGTCCGAAAAACATTCGTCGGTTAAGCCACCCTCTCCGCAAACACGGGAGCGGGAGCGGAGCGATTTTCCACACGGATCCGAGACACACAGGGTTGCGCAGAGATATCTCTGCGGGCAGAGGGAGATGGCAGAGCGCGGCGACGTGTACTCGTCGGAGAAATATTCGCTTCGCGGGTAACTTCGTCGGGGCGAGTTCTCTGTGCCCGAATGTTTCCGAGCTGCAAATATTCCGCCGCCTCCGAGAGGAGGCGCCGCGATTTAACGATCGTCGCCAGGCATTCGCCTTCGCGTCACGAAGCGCGAGAGAGCACGGAACAAGAGAGCGCGCGTCACGACATGAATTGAATTCACGCCGACTCTCGCGTACCGCGCCGGTAAATACCGGGACAATCTCCTGAAGAACTTGCGAACGAAGGGCCGGACGCGCCGGGGTTCCCGCGAAAGTCGAGTCTCTCCCCCGCAGATAAGTAATTATTTTTCCCATTGAGTTGCGCGGCTCACTTTAAAGTTGGCGCGTTCTGTGCGAAAGTTTCACGCGAAGGACCGTTCCTTCGCTTGGCTCGCGAGATTGGAAATTGCGGCTCATTGTTTATGCCAACGCCTCGGTATCGACGCGGTCGGTATCGCGAAATCGGTATCGCCTGCATTTCAGGGAATGTCTATTTTCTCAGGTGCGAATACACACTGCAATAGCGTTCGAATGGAATCCTTACGGCCGCGCGATGCAAAGTCA